GAGGCCGCTGCAGCGTCCCTTCCTATGATATTTATATATATATATATAGTATATGTATTTAGACCAGCCCTGCCAAGTCTATTCATTCGCTCAGGTGCCCGTCACCAAGAGTCATTTCTCACGACGTATAAAACAGGAGTTATGTGGCTAAGGGAAGGGAAGTCATTTTCAACTGTTCACTCTCCCTTCCCCTTCCTAGAGAAGGGAGCGGAGGGTACGGGTCAGGTCCAGCACGGCCTATCGATCCATCTCATCCAGCAGCGGTGTGGCGTCCCCAGCGATGGACATGGGCGTGCTCTCAATCATGGGGCTGGGAGATGGGCGAGGAGTCAACCTCTGCTTCTGTTTCCTTCGTTCAGCCTCCTTCTCCTGAAGCCACTGCTCGGCCATCTTCCCCCAGTCGATTGCAGCGTGACTGTTGGTCCTGCAATGACACGGGCAGAAGGTGAGACACACTAGCGGGACAGCTTCCCCACCCTCCCTCCCCAAGGGTCCCATGCAGGAAGGTGCAAGGTAACCCCACCACACTGGTTCCACCAAAATCAACAAAAGCAGCCAAGACGGGACACAGACGGATACATGCACCCAGCACCGGAGCCACTCACTTTGGCTGCTGCCTCTGCCTGGAGCTGGACGATGGCTGCGACTGTGTCTGGGACTGGGTGGACTGGGGTGTGGTGTTGGCCTGGAGCTGGTACTGGGGCGTTGTAATCGGCTGGCTGGGGGTAGTGTAGGAGTAACTGGGGGTCATCAGAGGGGTGGCCACCGGTTGCTGTGCTGGAGTCGTGAAGACCTGCAGAGAGCAGATACTGTCAGGGGACAGAGGGCAAACCTGCTAAGGCTGTAGGGAGAGGTCCGGCATGCTCTGCATTGCCCTACTAGCCCAGGAGGCTGGTGCACGTCCTTGCTGCGCACTCCCAGCCCTGCTGGGGCCCTTCATCTGGGCAAGGAGAGGTTTGCAGTGACCACTGCCCAGCGAACGGCGGGCTGCACAGCAGAAGGAGCAACACCCTGCTGAGCACAGGACATTTGTTCCCCTGAGAGCCCCCAATCACCCAACCTGGGCCAGCAGGGCCAGCACAACCTGCCTGCCTTCTTCACCCCATGGAGGGTACAAGGGGAGATGCTTTAGCCAAGCAAAGGTTAAGGGCCGCAAGAAATGGGCACAAGAGAAACTTGAGGCAAGCTAGCAGAAATGACGTCCTGCAGTGGGCATGAAGAACATGAATTCTTCCCCTTTGGGCTGCAGAGAAGGTGCAGCAGCTCCCAAGATGGCTCCCTCCCACATCCCAAGATGGCTGGCTCAGTTTGTCCAATGGAGTGCTTAGTCTCTTTGCCTCCTGGTGTTCACCTCCCTTTTCCTTCAGATTGCCTTGATGATTAATACATTGGGTTATCCACAGTCCCTGCCTATCGCCAGCTCAGCGTTTACTGTGCCAAACTCTGTGAAAGCCTCCCAAGGTGGTCTAAAAGAGGATCACTCCTCCCTGCAAGCCTTGTCTTGCAGCACCTCTTCATTAGGTGTCTCTAACAGCTGGCTGCGTTTTTCTTACGCAGGCACCTCAGTCCTTCTGCAGCTGGATTTAGCCTCGGGGTCAGCTGGGGAGCTGGCAGCGCGGGCTGGGAGGAGGTAGGCACCAGCGCACATGAGGAAAGGCTTGAGCGTGAGCCGAAACTGTCCAATTCCATCTTATTCCCTGCAAAACCCCTGGGCATTCGGTCAGGCTGAGGTGTTTGCCTGCTGGTGCAGCTCGGAGATTAGCACGCTGAGCTGAAAAGCCCTGCAAACTCAGCGCATACTTTCACAGCTAATCTCTTCCACTGGCAGCTCACGTTGCCAATTCAGGGGCACAATCAGAAGGTTGTGCGCCCTCACCGCTGGATCCTGCCTCTCCACCCTGCCACATTCCTTGGGGGCCAATTCGCTACTTGCTTCAACTCTCCCCAGAGCAGGGCTGTATTGCATGCCTCATTTCCTCAGCCGCAGGAGGCAAAAAGAAACCCAGCCCAAGAATCCAGCCAGGCTCCTCTGTGCAGCACCACGGGTACACAGCTATGACTGGATGATCCCAGGCAACAAGTAACCCCCTAGGCTCCCAGTGAAGCCCCCCATGGTTTCTAGCAGCAAGGAGAAGCCACGCAGCACCTCCTCTCAGAAACGGGACACCTACGTGGTACGCGCTGCTGCCGCCTCCGCTGCCTCCGTAGCCGTATTGACTGGATGCCCACTGCGCTGGGGTGGCATTTGGGTTCTGTCCCTGGCCTGTCACGGCAGCGATGGCACTGAACATCTGAGAGGTCATGTTCTGCGGTAGAGCATTCACTGCACGGGTCAGGTCTGCAAGAGAGACCCATTACGTTAAACAAAGCGGAGCCTGGAAAAGGAGCTCACATCCCGACTCCAACCAGGAAAAGCCTGCACTGACCTGCCAGGTTAATGTTAGCTGGAGTAGCATTAATGGAGGCTGGAGTCCTGGTCCGACTGCTACTGCTGGGAGTAATACCTGCATAAAATATAAACCAAGAGAGACAGATCAGTTCTCACAGAAGAGCTGCTATTAGCCTGAAGCTCAGGAACTGAAAAAAATGCAGGCAACACTTGTACTGGCAAGATGCTACTTTACCAGGGAATGGTGTATGAGGGTTGTGCGGTGGGGAAGGCTAAGGGAAAGGGACAAGCCCAGCTTTTGCTGCATGGCCCACTTGGCTGAAAGATTAACTCTCAGGAGAGCTCTCAATGGGTCAGTAGAAGCCAAACACTTAAACATTGCATTGAAACTTCCCACATATAGAAAATCCTAGGACACATCTCAAGGACAAAGAACGTGTAAGTGTCCTTTACTAACTGCCCCTACTGTGTGACAGCCAGGAAACAAGCAGCTGAAGCACCGAGGTTTTGGGATGCTCACCTGGAACAG